TTTCTTAGGTTTATTTCATTTTTTTGAAGGTTTCAGTTTTGTTTGTCTTTGTTTTGTTTCATTCACCAGAGAATAGTCCGGATCAGTGTTTCGACAGTTCTCATGAGCATCGGATCACCACATCATATAACACCATAACCTTCATTATATACCATACTATCATCACTTCATAAGACATTACAGTCTATACCACCGTTTTATAGATTTTGCTTTCAATTCATTATAAGTATTTATATCATTGTTTCATACATTCATTTAATTGTATTTATTTAATAATTTTGTTTGTATAATCACTTTCAATATTTATTTATAGTCTATTTAATTAACTAATAGAGTGTTAATATTATTAACATACATAATAATACAAAATTTTGTTTGTGTTCAGAATAATATTATATATTATATGAATTTCTAAATAAATAAAAAAAATATAATTGAATGTTAACTTCTAAATACTGATAATAAGGATTAGTAAAGCGAGATATCATTATATAAAGTTATAATTAATTACAACTTTTAAACATTTCAATTGCTTTGCAACCAAATAAAGTTTAGTCTAAAAGTTGTGTTGTGAAGATGTAGTACATTTATATATACATAATATAGTATAAGCAATGCGAACAACTATACTACAAAAGGGACTGAAATGAGGGTGACTTTGATACATACTTTAAAGTTAAAAACAAGTTTTCAAATGAAAACAACAACTGAATTGAAATAATCATAAATTGTATGCATTTTCAATGGATTAAGAAATGGTTCACAAGAATATACTCATCACTGGATCTAATCGTGGCATTGGTTTCCAATTATGTAAACAATTATCTCAATTGAACACAACCGGAAACATAATCGCCACCACAAGAAGTGGATCCAACTCTTGTGTATATATCACTCAAATTGAACTCAATTTCCAAACTTGTACTCAAATATCACTTTTAATCTAATGGTTAGGATTTGAACCGATTATCAGCGGTTAATAAGAAGATAAAAGTCTTAGCCTTTGATACCACAGACTATACACGTTATGACCGCTTTCTGGACGACTGTCACCGCATTGTCGGCAATCGTGGTCTCAACCTATTGGTCAACAACGCCGGTGTTATGGCCAGGGATTCACTGATGTCTGTCACACCCGATAGTCTTAACGATAATTTTAATGTCAACTCAATCGCGCCATTAATGGTAACACAAAAACTATTACCACTTCTTAAGATGAGTGCTAACTATGGAGATCCGACTGCTGTGGTCAACATATCATCCACTTTGGGATCAACTGTTGGTAGAGTAGAGGCGGGCAAACAGTACTATCCCTATAGGATTAGCAAAGTATTTGATCCATTGTCTTGTCGTAACAAATGTCTTTGACTGCTGTGGTCAACATATCATCCACTTTGGGATCAACTGTTGGTAGAGTAGAGGCGGGCAAACAGTACTATCCCTATAGGATTAGCAAAGTATTTGATCCATTGTCTTGTCGTAACAAATGTCTTATTGTGGTCTAAACGTATAATCTTTTCCGAAGGCGTCCCTAAATATGATAACAAAACTATTGGCCTATGATTTGAGTGAAGACCACATCCGTGTGATTGCTGTACACCCGGGTTGGGTCAAGACTGACATGGGCTCCAAACAGGCACTACTGGAGCCTGAGTTTGCCGTCAAGTCTCTGCTCAAAGTCATACTAAACATCGACAGCTCACTGAGTGGTAAACTAATCAATTATGATGGAAAAGTTCTTCAGCTCTGAATTATATCCATTATAATTGAATGCATGCATAGGAATCGTAACAATAATTATTGTCTAATTTATAGTAGTTTGTCATCAATTGTGTGATATTATGAAAAATAGTTTTTATTCAATTATTGGTGAATATATTAGTAAAATATAAAAATAGTAAAATAATTTATAAATTAAGATTCAAACATGAAGTGTAGAAGTCCTGGAAGTCTTGCTCGGGGTTCAGGTGGTTGTCGAGCATTTGATTGCATTAATCTGTTATTATTTTCAATATCCAAACTCCTGGTGCTCTGATTCAATGATTTCATTTCAATACTTTGTTTTGAAGAGCTTTTCTTAGCGGTGGGACTCTTCTTGGATGTGAATGTTATGAATGCAAACAATGCAACGATTACTGAGACAACACTCAC